CAATGATGGTGCGGTCACCTGTGTTCACCACCAGGCCCTGTGCCGTGCCTGCAGTGGGGCCAAGAGGGCGCCTCAGGGACAGGTGGGCAGCAACGGGGGTGTGCACACAGTGTGAACTGCAGAAGGGGAAGTCATGGGAGATAGAGGGGCAGGATGCCCCGAAGAGGGGGTGGTCACGTGAGGTGGGCAGGCAGTGTGGCTTCATACAAGGCAGAAGAAGGGGAATGGAGGCAGCCGTGGGGAGTGTGGAGGCAGCGTGGTCAGCCGGGGGGGCGGGCAGGGGCCTCACAGACCTTCAAGGCACATGGTGGAGAAGAAGGCGATGTTGCGGGTCTCCAGGGGGCTCTCGTGTGTACATTCGGGCGAGCGGGTCTGCGGCTCAGACTCTCCAGTCAGCGAGGAGTTGTCCACCTTGCAGCCCTGGGCCTGGAGGATCCTGATGTCCGCTGGCACTCGGTCCCCGCCTTTCATCTCCACCAGGTCGCCCACCACAAGCTGGTCTGCATTGATCTGGAACTTGTCCCCATCTCGGATCACAGTTGCTTGCTGTGGGGCAGGGGCACAGGGTTGAGGTAGGCAGGGGTGGGGGTGGAGGCCGCTGAGTGCAGGGGAAGGTGGGGAGATGCAAAGAGGGAGCTGTGGAGGACCTATGGGCGGAGCGGGAGGCTACAGGCTGGGAGCAGGTTGGGCCTGGTGGGAAGGCCCACACAGACAGACGCCAGGAGCCTCCCTGCCCCCGCCCGAGTGCACACAGGGAACTGAATGGGGACCCACCTGGGGCACGAGGTTCTTGAAGCTGGCAATGATGTTGGTGCTCTTAAACTCCTGGTAGTAGCCAAAGCAGCCGGTGACCACGACCACGGCGATGAGGGCCAGTGCCAGGTACAGCTGGGTAGAGGCAGGAAGGGGGCCAGGCTGATGAGAAGGGGCCGGAAGATCCCTGCGCGGGGGCGCCCGCCTGCTCCCTGTCCCCCGGTGTTCTTGGGGTCACCCCTGTGGTTTTCCCTGCTTTACTAGCCACCACATGCACTGTTCCCCGTGGCCTGTGTTCCCTGTCCCTGTGTTCTCCACGTCCCACATTCAGCTTCCCTGTATTCCCAGTGTCGTGTACCTATATCCCATATTCTCTGGGTCCTGAACCCTACATCCCCCATGTCCCCATATCCTACGACTTGTGCCCTGTGTCACCATGCATCCTTTCCTGCGTCCTTTTGAGTCCTGCATTCCACATGTCTGCTGTCCTCTGTCCCCTCATGTTCTCATGCCCTATAGTCCCTGTGTTACAAGTTTCGTGTTCTGTGTTTTCATAATCTGTGTGCCACCTCTATGTGCCCTGTGCCCCAAAGTGCACCCTCCTGTCCCCATTTCCATGTTAGTATGCTGTCGATCTTATGCTTCATATTCTGTGGACTCCACGATCATGTTCCAAATTCCAAGTCCCTATGTCCAACGTCTCCCCATGTCTGTGTACCTCTAAGTCCCCACGTCTCTTGTTCTGACCCTTGTCATATATCCAATGTCCTCTTGTCCCACATTTCAATATTCTCTGTCTCTGTGCTTCCTTGTCTGCTTCATGTCTCTCTAGGCACTGTGTCCTGAGTCTTCGGTCCCCTATGTCCCTATGCCCTGTGTCCCATGTCTGAGTCCCATGTCCCTTGTGCCCTTGGTCTGTCCCGTGTCTTCTGTTTCCCAAGTTCCATATCTTAAGTATTGTATTTCTACGTCTTTGTATCCCCACCCGTGTCCTCCATATCTGAGATACATTCTCTGTGTCCCCTGTGACCTGTGTCATCGGGTCTGCCCCATATCCCAGTATCGTTCATCTCCCCCTCCTCTTGCCCCCCGTGACCTATGTCTTGGAACTGCATTTCCACGTGTCTGTGTCCCCATCCTGTATCCCTTGCGTCCTGAGTCCATGCTCAATGTTCTCTATCCTCCAGTTCCCTGTGTCCCACGTCTGCCCACAGCAGCTGCTACTCACATTGTCGTCGGTGGTGAGGTCCCCCTCACTGGCCTGGATGGCAAAGGCAATGAGACAGATGGCAGCAGCCACCCACATGAGGCACTGCAGACCACCGGCCAGCTGCCGGGCGAACTTGACATACTCAGGGGTACCACGCGGCGGCCGCAGGGCATTGGGCCCATCCCGCAGCAGCAGATCCGCGGCCAGGCTGGCAGTCAGGCCCTGGGGACAGGGCAGGTGGTCGCAGTGGCTTCCAAGGGCTTTCGTCTCACCACACGCTCCTTGGTGGGGGTAGCTCTTCTGTCTGTCTCTTTCCCCTCTTCTCCCCTCTGTCTTGTGCCTCTTCGTTTCTGTGTCATCCTTGCCTCTGTCCTGCCCCTTCCCCCTGCCCTCCACCGAGTCTCTCTCAATTTTCCTGCCTGGTTCTCTCTTCCTGTTGTCTCTGCTCTGCTTCTCTCTCTTATCTGCCTCTTTGTCTCTCTCTGTCTCTGCCTCTCTGCCTCTTTTTAGCTGCTTCGCCTACTCCATCCCTCTCTCTATTTGGCCCTTTCTCTCTAATGCATTTCTCCCTTTTCTTCCTCTCTCTCTCTCTCTCCCTCTCTCCCCTTCTCTGCACGCACCCCTCCCTCTGCGCCCAGCTCACCTTGGTCGCACTGGTCTGGTATTTCTGTTCCAGCTCCGCGACTGATAGCTGGTGGTCGTTCTGCGTGGTGGAGGCAGGACAGTCACTGTCCAGCTCTCACCGGCCGCACTCCTGCCCCCCACCCAGCCCCCTCGCCCCCTGCTCACAATCTCCATCTCCTTCTTCATGTTCTCCAGCTTCTCCTTCCTCTTGCCTCCTTTACTGCCTGCCTTCTTCTTGCTCATCTTGGCTGCCATGTCCCCACCAGGGCCAGGTCCCAGCTCTACTGAGTACATCTCGTAATTCTCCTGGGGATGAGAGGAGCGGGGAGGCATCAGATCCCACTGAAACTCCTGCCTCCAGCCTCCAGCCTCCCAACCCCTGACTCCGGGCCCCACTCACTGCCTTCCCCATAGTGCCTGGTGCAGCCACCCTCCTTTGCTGAGACAGAGCCTAGGGTCTGGACTGGCCCTGATATACCCAGGGAGGGAGGAGGTGGAGCAAGACTGCCCCAATTACAGCTGATTGTGGGGCTCCTTGGGGTGACCTCCAGGCCTAAGCAGCTCAGGAATTACCTACTGAGCTGCCCCAACCTGCCCAGACCCATCTCAACCTGCCACTGAGATCAGGGGACCACTGAGGATGTCCATCGTAACAACAAGAACAGCAAACATACGGTGTTCATCATGTGCCAAGCACCAGGCTCAGGGCTTTCCTGTATTAACTAATGTAACCTCACAACATCCCTTTGAGACGAGTACTATTCTTTCCTCTCCCTACCACAGAGATGGGGAAACTGAGGCACGGGATGGTTAAGTCACTTGCCTGTTGTCCGCAAGCTCGGACGTGGAAGGGTCAGGACTCAGAACCAGGTAGGCTGGCTGCAGGGTCCTCTTCCAGGCCACACTGCCCATGCCTGACTCCTGGAGGGGGAGCGCGCTCACAATGGTTGCTGTAATAGCTGTCGTTTAGGGAGGACTTCCTGGTTCTGGCTCTGCCCAGTGTGCTTTGTGTGAATGTTTCATTAGCTCCTCACCCTATAAAGTTATGTTCTCTCTTTGGCCGCCATTGTACAGATGAAGAACCCAAGGCACAGAGAGGTTAAGGACTTGGTCTAAGGCTGTGATGACTAAGTACCAGGGGCAGGATTCCAGCCCAGGTCTGACCCCGGAGCCTGGCTCTCGTATGGGACCACCAGTGAAGAAGCCCACAGTTCACATCAGCAGTCGGTGGCAAGTGTGAGCCAGGCCCTGCACACATGTGACCTTGGGGGTCCCTGCAACAAACCCCTGTGCGGGCGGCATTAACATTCCCGTTGTGCACAGGGGAAACCAAGGCCTGGAGAGGTTCAAGGGGGTCCCAGAGGTGCCCCACACATCCAGCCGTAGCCATTACAGGTGCTCCCATCTCCACGCCAACCTGCCCGCGTGGGGAAACCAAGGAACAGAGTGGGGAAAAGACGTCTCCAAGGATCCCGGCTCGATCTTGGTTTTGGTGCCAGGTTTGAGGTCCCCCGGGCGGGCACCCCTGTGGGCAGCAGTGAGGATCTGGACTGCTGGAATGGCAGGTTCTTGATATCTCATGCTTGGCCTCACAGCACGGACGTGTATCTCAGGCCAGGCACGGGTATATCTGATAAGATAATTGCTCTGGCGACGTCCTTTTCTCCTGAGGCAGGTCACCTGGGAAAGTTTAAGCTGTTGAGCAGCCCAACCTCCTCCCCATACCCACCCAGCTGGTCATCCCATCTCCTGCTACAGAGGACCCCCAGAGAGGAGACTGGTGGGGTGAAGTCACACTGAGTGCCCTTACAATGACTCTGCTTGCACTGGGGGCTTCAGTTCTCTGAACCACACATGTGAAGCACTTTGTGTCACGTCGCTCCTCTGCTTACAACTCTCCAGGGGTTTCCCTTCTCGCTCATAATAAACTCTCAAGTCATTCCTGACAGATCTTGCCCTGGCTCACCTCACCTGGCTCAGTTTCTACTACGGTTCAACAGGCACTGGCCTTCTTGCTGCACTTTGTACAGGCCAAGGTCATTTGCACTTGCAGGTCCCTCTGCCTGATGCTCTCTTCTTTAGAAATCTGCATGATTCTTTCTCGCCGTCAGGTCTCAGTTCAAATGTCATCTCTTCAGATAGTCCTTCCAATATTTCACCCTGATCAGGCTCCATGCCCTTGACACTGCTTTACTCACACCCCTTGTCCCAACCTGACACTGTATTTTATTCTCATTTGTTTGCTGTCGATCTTGTCACACGAGAAGGAAGACTGGGACTTGGTTGTGTTTGCTGCTATACACACGGCACCCAGAACAGTGTCCCCAGACACACAGTAGATGGTCAGAAGACACTGTTGGATGTGGAATATTCATTAGCAAAAACGGAGTATTGGGCAGGCCCTCAGGAAGTCTCAGTCACTGGGAATTCCTTGGTTCCCCTTGCTCTCTCTAGCCCTTCCACCCTGCCCACCAGCCCCCTACCTCTGAAAGCATCCAGAGCCTGGGGCAAATATGATTCAGGACCATCACAACCTAAGTCACAGGTGGAGAGACCAAGGCACAATCACTGGCAGCAGATGGCTGACCCCCGACACGTGCAGACCTCTGTCATAATCAGGGACTGTCTTCCTCTAGTCTCTGTTCCATTTGTCCCTTTATTTTCATTTCTTAGTTTTACTATGTTCCTTTTCAATGTTTTATTTTTAAATATTTCAGACCCACACGTTACAGGGAGAAAATGAATACCTGCCTACCTTTCAGCTAAATGGAATGATCTTATCAGTTGGTGGTTTCTAGAGGAATGATAGATGACACACAGAGAGAGTGAGAGCGAGAGAGAATAGATTTTTTTTTAAGCTTGGGCTTAACCACTTGAGAGTAACTTGGAGACAGGATGCTTGTTTATCTGTGAACATGTAGGCATGTGTCTCCCACGAATATGGACACTCTCTTACATGACCGTGGTCCAACGGTCAGATGCAGGACGTTCACACTGACATGACATTATGAGCTAATCTAGGGAACGTATGTGAATTTCCTATTTTCCCTCTCATGTCCTTTTTGTGGTCCGGGATCACACTTGACATTTTTAGTTGCTGTGTCTCCTCAGTCTCCTCCAATCTGTGATATTTCTTTACTCTTTCCTTGTCTTTCCAGACCTTGCCATTTTGGAAAAGTATCAGTCCATTATTTTGTAGAATTTCCCTCAGTTTGGCTTGGCCGACGGTTCCCCATGATTAGACTCAGATCATGTGCTTTTAGCAGGAACGCAGCAGTGATACACGCCCATCTCAGAGCGTCGTGGCAGGATGGGCCTCATTTCTGAGCCTTTAAGTGATCTGGACCGGGGTAGACATTTGGAGGATATCCAGAGGCTTAGGGAATGACCAGAGGGCTATTCTATGATCTCTGTATTTTCCATGCAAAACGCTGTCACAGGCACAGCTGGCACTCGGTAATGAAAACACAGTCACCGCCTGAGCCCCCCACCACATCCGCAGCCGGCCACTTAAAGAGGCTGCTGGCCCAGCCCCATGGCCTTGTCCGTTCCAACTGTTCAGTGTCTGGCCATGTCCACAGTTAAATACTTTCACTGCCCCCCGCCCCCGCCCCTGGTGTCACTCCAGGTCTGCGTCTTGTGGGAGTCTTTCCTCGTGCATTTATTCTTTCATTGTGCATCCAAACGACTCTGACCCTGTCTCTGGGGGACACAGGCTGTGGCCCACAGGCAGGATCTGGGTAAAGCAGGAGGTGTGCTGTTGGGACCCGGAGTGGAGTCTATCTCAGTCTGATGGGCACCTCCTGGCACAACTTGGGGGCAAAGACGTCTCACAAGAAGGTTGTAAGTGTGACACCATCTACTGAACACAGTAGGTGCAAGATTTCTTGGAGCCGGAGACACGCAGATCACTGGAGACTTCTTCAAGAACAATTAATGGTCAGAAGTGATTTTTTTTTTCCCCTGAGAAAGAGAGGGCAGAGGATAGACTTTTAAGTGGATGGTGAATGTGGAGTGGGTTTTAGGGGGTCTCCTGGAATTGTGACCACACACACTCTTAGGGACTCAGCACCCTACAAGTCCTGATGGGCTCAGACCCCTGGCTGCGCCTCCTTCCCACATGCCTTCCCCTGTCAAGCTTTGGGATGCAGCCCACGCAGCCCCTCTGTTTACCAAAATTGTCATTTCAACATCTTGGCACCTGAAGCTTCCTCCACCGGAAACACTCCCCCTACACCCTCCCCACATTCAGCTACTTGTCTTTTGTGCTCCGGCACAGATGTCCTTTCCTCTAGGGAACCTCCTTGGACCACCTGCCCGCTGGATCAAGTACCTCCCCTGGGCTCCCACAGGCCCCTGGGCTTCCCCATCCCAGCCCTGACCCCTCTGGCCC